AGGTCCTGAGTTCAATTCTCAGCAACCACACGGTGCCTCACAACTATCTATAGTGAGATCCAGTGGCCTCTTCTGGCATGCAGGTGTACAGTATACATAATAAATAACTAAATCTTTTTTTTTTTTTTTTTTTTTTTTTTAAGGAGCACTGGCTACTCTTCCAGAGGACCCTGCTCTGATTTCAACACCACATGGCAATTACAATCTCCTGTAAACTCCAGTCCCCGAGTATCTGACACCCTCTGTTGGTTTCCATGGGCACCAGGCACACACACGGTACACACACACATGCAGGAAAAACACTTAAACATAAACTAACATCAGCCAACCTCAAAACAATTTCAAGATGTTAAGCGCAACTGTAAAGTCGCAGAGTGAACCCATCTCAGGGCAGAGTATCAGTTTAATTCAGAAACCACTAAGCCATCCCCAGAACACAGACAACATCCTGACTCCCGAGAGCTGCTTTGCAGTCAGGTCCTGCCCCAAGCTCAAGCAAATTCTGCCCTGATTCCTTCTTCACCTGTCAGGGTTTCCAAAGAGATGGCATCAGGCTGTCATTTGTGTCTGGCTTCTGTCACCATTAGGAGGTCCATGGACTGATAGAATGAGCCAGTGGCCACTGCTTGGTACTACTGGAAGGGACCTCTGTGGGGCCAATCATATCCTCTGTCACTGGTGATGGTTGGTGGAGTTGCTTTTTGTTATTTGAGGAATGCTACTAGAGTCATTGTGGTTCTCTGAAATCAGCAGCTCTCAACCTTCGTAACACTGCAACTCTTTAACACAGTTCTTCATGCTGTGGTGACCCTCGATCATAAAATTATTTTCGTTGCTACTTCATAGCCGTAATTTTGCTACTGTCATGAATCAAAATTAAAATATCTGTGTTTTCCAGTAAGTCTTTTTATTTATTTATTCATTTATTTTTTTTAATTTTATGTACATTGGTGTTTGACTGGACATATGTTCATGTGAGGGTATCAGATCCCCTGGAACAGGAGTTATAGACAGTTCTGAGCTGCATGTGGGTGTTGGGAGTTGAACCCAGGACCTCTGGAAGAGGAGTCAGTGCTCTTAACCACTGAGCCATCTCTCCAGCCCTCCCGGTAAGTAAGTTTTAGGGGACTGCTGTGAAAGCATCATTGGCCCCCAAAGAGGTCACAACTTACATGTTGAGAACCACTTGTATAAATGTATGTTTCTGTTCTCTTGGACAGTGTAAAATTTTGGGGTTAGAAGGCAGCTTGACTTCTTTTTTAAGACATTTTATTTTTAGCTAAAATGTATGAGTGTTTACCCGCACATATGCGAAGCAAGTGTACTACATGGGTGTCTGGCGCCCACGAAGGCCAAAATCGGATCCCTTGGAACTAGAGTTACAGATGGCTGTGAGACGAGAGTGCCGGCTTCATCGGTGGGCTGTCAGTGGGCTACTGGGAGGAAACAAGCCTGCCTCCGTGGCATTTCCACTGCTCCGAGAAATACCATGCCCATGAGCAATGTGGGGAGGAAAGGGTTTATTTCTGCTTACAGCTCACAGGCCCATCACTGAGCGAAGCCAGGAAAAGGACGCAAGGCAGGAACCTGGAGGCACAAACTGAAACAGAGGGGTGCTTGCTCACACACCCTGACTTCTTACAGCACCCAGGACCACCTGCAAGGTGGTGGTGCCACCCACAGTGAGCTGAGCTCTGCCTCATCAATCACCAATCAAGAAAATGCCACAGGAGCATATACAGAGTTTAATCTTGTTGGAGCCATTTTCTTTGTTAAGTTTCTTTCTTCTTAGGTGATTCTAGTTTGTATCAAGTTGACACACACACACAAAAATACTATCAAAGGTCCATTGGAGAAGGGGTGTCTCTGTAGAGGGTAATTTTGTCCCTGGTCCTTTTCTTTGTCTGCTTCCTGTTGCCATATTGTAAATTGCCTCTGCTATACTCTCTGGTTACCTCTGTCTCAAGGCAACGAAGCCAGGCCACCATGGCCAAAACCTCAGAAACTGGGAGCCAAAATAACCCTTCTTTAGCTCTTTTCCCAAGTATTTCATCACAGTGTGGGGGGAAAAAAATCCCTTTACTACACACCTCTTCTGGACAGAGCTCATTTCCCTGGCCTTTCCCCGCTTTGGATGCCTAAGCCCCATTAGAGGCACCTCCATACTTCCCCCTACTTGAACGGAGGAGCTGAGTCACTGCATTAAATGCATTAAATCATCTATAGCATTTAAATGTAAGGGCAGGAGCGGGCACTCAAGACCGTGACACCTTCATTATTTTTATGTACTAGGCAGTGTGCCCTATAGCACAGAGAACACAATGAGCAATACTGCCACCTGCTGGTTGAGGCAGACAGTACACAGGTGAGCCAGGTGTGGAGCGCTGAGGCAGCCCTCTGAAGAAATGCAGAATGGGGGTCTATGAGGGGACAGGCCATGCTAGGCCTCTCTGAGCAGGTGGCCTTAAAGCCAAGGCTCCAGAACAGTAGGGGAGAGAGACACATGGGTGTCTCGGGGAGAGCATCTCATCCCAGAGCCTAAATTTGGGAAAAGACATCCAAAGCAAACCATCCTACCAGCACCAGTCACAGCCTCTGGAAAACGCCAGCATGATGGCTATGCAGGCCAGCAGATGTGACCTAGTCTTCGCCCATGTCAGGCACACCTTCATAACTAACGTGTTCTGGAACTGGAGAAAGTCATCCTTCAGCAGTAAGAGTACTGGCTGCTCTTCCAAAGGATCAAGGTTCTACTTCTGGCACTCCACACAGCGGCTGTCCGTAAAGCCAAGTCCACCGGATGCAAGGCTCTCTGGCCTCTTCAAGCACCCATGCACATGAGATACAGACATACAAGCAGCTAAAACGCCCATAAGTACAAAATAAAATTTAAAAAAAAATTAAGTTATGCCCTAAAAGATACCCAACAGAATCCCAGCCTAGGGCTCCGATGACTTTCAAGTGGGAAAGGATGGCGCTCATGTAGGTGGCTTGGGCAGGATCACAAGACCTGATCTCATGGCTGGAGGCTCCCCCTGGCTTAGCATCCATCTTCTGAGCAGTTACTGGGAAGTGCACTTCAGGGCATAGAAGGCACATTGTGGAAGGGCAGAGGGGTGAGATCAGAGAGACTCAGAAATGGGTCCCTGGAGCTGGGCCTTGGCTCAGGAGAGGCTCCACTGGGGTATCCCACAGGCCACAAGGCTGGTGGCCTCCATGATTGTTAAAGCCAGCTTCACTAAAGCTGGTCACTGGCATGGAGCGTACCAACTGGGGCAGGGAGAGAACCGAAAACAAAGGGAAGCAAAGTAGGAAGTGGAAGTTAGGCAAGACAGGAAATGGTGCAAGAGGGAAGTAAAACAGGGCAGGAAGTAAAGTGAGACAGGAAGTAGAACAGGAAGCAAAGCAGAACAGGAAGTGAGGCAGGAACAGGAAACAAAGCAGGCCAGGTAGTAAGGAAAGACCAGGAAGCAAAGTGGGGCAGGAAGCAGAATGAGACTTTTTGGCTGCCTTTGTCCTGTCCATAGCTGTCCTCAGGCCTGTCACCACCACACTCAGCAAGCTCACGGAGGGGAGGGGGTCTTCTCTTCTTTTCAGCTAAGACTGGGCCCAACATGGGAGTCAGGGCAATGTCGTCTACACCAGAGTGAGTGAACCGTCAGTCATAGGCAATGGCTCCCAGGCCCTGCGGTGCCTCACCCCCTACCACACACATTCATGGTGTCTCTCTCCTGACTTCTGCTGCCCAGCACTCACACAGCCCCCTTCTCCTGTGACTCAGCCCCTTCGGTATGTCCCCACCTACCCTAGAACTTTCCACATGCTGCAGGCTAAAGCCCCCCTCACCCATTCAGTTCCTTTCTTCACACACGAGTTTTTAATGAAATTTTCCCTGAACAGCCCAAACCCAGCAAACCAACCCACTGACCTGTGAGGCTCCCTGCCCTGCTCCTCTGGACCACAGGCCCTACGGGCCCAGAGCCTTACTCGGGTGCTTTCAGCTGCTCCCCAGCAGGGTGGTGAACCCCCTCCCCCAGGCTCGCAGCTGGTGCTGTACAGTCATTTATGGAGCAAGAGCCGCTTGCTTCCTTGTGGAAGGGTAGAGTGTTGCCTTGTCTTAAGCTACATACTAAAGCCAGCAGAGCCTTGGTGAGGAGGCCAAGTCCAGATGGAAAGGAATGGAAGACCCTGGTCTATGAAATGTAGTGAGGAGACAGCATTGTTCCCTTCTTTCTACACCTGGACCAATAGAGGTCACGACTCTACAAAAGACCTGGGGCCAAGCTATGGAGCTCCAGACAAGTCCTGTGGGACTACTTGTACAAAATATTACAAAGGCAAGGTGTGGTAAGACCAACCGAAGCTCCAGCTGCTGCTTCTGCACAGGCCCCCAGCACACACATGCACCTGGCGTGTCACTGTCCCCATAAATGGACCCTAGTCCCCGGTGGCTCTTCTCCAGCGACTGGACTAAGGGTGAGACACCACAGGGTGCCGGGTTCCCAGCCCCTCTCCCACATCCTCTCTCTCCCTCCCGTCAGGGCGAATCCAGGAAACCCACAGAGAGATGTCTACTGACCTAGATAGAGGGAGTGCCTAGAGACACAGAGAGGATACCAACCAGCCCTCCTTGGTGAACCAGTCCATGTTCTGTGCACACTTATGTTTGCAGCTCCTGGGCAGCCTGTTATGTGAAGGCTTGGGGAAAGCTGCACCACAGAGCACTTCCTGGGCAGTGTACAGGCAGCTACACCACCTCAGAGCGCTGGGCCCCAGGCGGCCTGTGCCCCAGCTAGCAGGCCTCATCTTATGATGGCTCAGCTGCTCTGCCCCGGAAGTGACTGCCATGTCCTGTCTGAAAGACAGAGCTACACGGAGGGTCTATGGTTGGCTTCCTATCTGGGGTGAGTCTCCACAGAAAGTATCACACAACAGGGTCTTATGCAAGGGTGATCTCCCCAGAAGCCCTTCTATAATGATGAGGCAGACAACACTTCTCGTTTGCATCTCTGAGAACTTTTTAATGTAAACACAAAATGTTTGAAGAAACTGTTGGAAAAAGTAACAAGAGAATCTGTAAATGTTATTTTTAAACAGGCTATGAAGTCAGCATAGAAACATCCTGAGAGCTGACTCACTCACCCACACAACCCTGCTTCACTAGAAGACCAGACCCAGCCACCTGGTCAAGAGGCCACCTGAGCAGAGATGAAGACATTGCAGGCCAAGGACTCAGGCTGAACTCGGAGACCTGGACACGAGTGGTGGGGACCTCGCTGGTGTGAGGGTCCTCTGCAGCTAAATCCGACAGCACTGAAGTGGAGTGTGGGGGCTGCACAAGCACGACTTCCTCTTCAGCGCTTTCAGAGTGCTTTCAGACAGGAAGCAGGAGCTTCCAGGCAGGAGTGTCTTCATCCTAGGCTAGCTCTGGACCAGGACACACAGCCCAGCCTCCTGCAGTAGCTCTCGGCACAGGGGGTGTCAGGCTGGAAGGTATGAGCAGGTGAATGAGTGACAGGCACCACTCTAAGGTTGATGGTTTCTAGACAGTTGAGTATCTCTCACACAGGCTATATCAGATCAGATCAAGTGAGGCTGGGATAGAGTGCACATTCATACATACATGCAGCAGTCGGCAGAATTCACTAGGCTTGGTGACTTTCACATACTCAGGCTCAACAGATATGCAGTCACTGGGCCACCTTATTCACAGTGTTCACCAGCCACATCTTTATACCATACATCATAGTTTTCTAGGAACTCTGGGCACGAGCAGGTGTTCAATTGACAATGACAATCTGGTCCTTCAGATGCTGTCCAAGAATGGCTTTGCACCTGGGGCAATTCCACTGAGTTTAGTGAGCACCAAGTCTTGGTTCCGTCATCATCTTGCCTTGAAGACTCCACGGGCATGAGTGAACAAGGAAGAGTATGACAGGAGCGCAGCGCGTGACTGCTTGTCACCTCTGCAGTGAAGCAGGTAGAAATGAGCTAACAACAATCAACTTTTCAGATCCTTACACTTCCTGGGTCAGGGTCACCAGAAGGCACTGAAGGAGGGCCCTGAGGGGCTGCGAGGCTGTGTTTCAGTGACAACAGAACCTGTACACAGCTGCCTAGGGCTGGCCCATTGTCCTTCACAAGGCAGTGTCTAGCTTAGAAGGGGGAGGGGGTTGATGTTAATATATTAAGGAATTTAACTTATAGATATTTAAAATTACAGATACCTTACAAAATAGTTCTGTGATGATTCTGCAAGCAAGACATGAACAGAAATCAGGCCCGTACAAAGTCTCTTCGTGAGCGCTGTCTGCTGAGAGCTCGGAGCACACCCTAATTAAACTGCATGCACATTTTTAACACTGACATTTTTATAAAAGTTAGATTTTCTTTTCAATCATTCCTATTTCAAGGCTGCCAAGACAAGGCCACCATTGTGAAATCTCTGTGGTGTCCTTCAGAGAGATCGAGGCTATCTGGGCTGGCATGCTGCAGCCACTCAGCTCATGGTGTTTCGTGGTACAAAACCTCCGAAGTGCTTTATTCTTCATCACCAGTGAAAACCTCAGCACTCGGCACGAGCTCTGGGGTCTGAGGTTCCCATGTGGAAGGGCAGGACACTGACTCTGCTGCAGGTGCGGTTGAGTCCCTGACGACAGAGAGCTCTTGGGGTGCGGTTGCTATAACAATGCTGTTGCTAAGATAATTCCGAGGATCACAAGCAAAGTGACTACACAAATGAGGATGAACATCACCTTCTGCAAGAAAAGAGACAGGAGTCTGCTATGCAGGAAAAAAACAAAAAACAAAAACAAAACAAGCACTGTCCCCACAATGTCCTGCTGCCTAACACATTTTTCCATCATTAGGAAACAGGCTCAGGTGAGAGGAGGAACAGAAAACCACCTTTCTAGACAGGGCCCAGCTGTCTGGTCTAGTCTCATTAATGAAGGGAGGGAGGAATGAAGGGAGGAAGGAATGAAGGAATGGAAGGAGGAAGGGAGGGAGGAAAGGAGGGAGGGAGGGAGAAAGGAAGGAAGGAAGGAAGGAAGGAAGGAAGGAAGGAAGGAAGGAAGGAAGGAAGGAGTGGAAATGTGTGCTGTATGTGTGTGTGTGTGTGTGTGTGTGTGTGCCTAAGTGTGCGTGTGCTTGCATGCCTGTGTGTGTTATATGCAAATAGCCAGCTGGCCCAGGGTAAAGAATCACACCTGCTCTCCCAGGTCCTAGCAAGAAGAGCTGATGGACACCCACAAAAAGCAAGTGCTTCCCCGATCATGCTGAGAGCCACCATCGGACTTCTGTGGCCATATTCAACTGACCTTGCTGTGCTACAGGGGGCAAAAAAAGGCCTGGTTTTACGAAGACTAATGACAATATTGAAAAATACCATTTTTAGAAGAGAAAAATCAGTCATCTTTTGCAGCAGACTAAGAGAACAGCATCAGGAAAGCTGTATAAACTTCCTGTCCAACAGACATGGGGCTGCAAGTCCTTCTTGCCCCAGGATGGATGCTCTCTGTGCAACTCCATGGCCTGCACTGACCACAAGAGCTCGGCTCCTACTGATAGCAGCCATACCAGGCAAGTGCCCCGATCATTAGAGAAGCTTCATGGGTGCAAAAGCAGTAAGGACTGCAGATTGGGAGAACCTCCTTTCTGCCACAGTTGAAAAATTCTTGTTAAGAAGCACCACTGAGCCAGATGTGGTGACACATGCCTATAACCCCAGCACTCAGGGAGGCAGAGGCAGGTGGATCTTTGTGAGTTTGAGGCCAGCCTGGTCTACAAAGTGAGTCCAGGACAAAGAAGAATAAGGAAAAAGAAAAAGAAAAAAGAAGAAAAGAAGAAGGAGGAGGAGGAAGAGAAGAAGAAGAATAGGAGGAGGAGGAGGAGGAGGAAAAAGAAGGAGAATGAGGAGGAGGAGGAGGAGGAGGAGGAGGAGAAGGAGAAGGAGAAGGAGAAGGAGAAGGAGAAGGAGAAGGAGAGAACCACCACTGACTGTCAGTGTTCACAAGGATGACCCAGTACGGGGTGGGGAATCACTAACATTCAGGGGAGTGAGGCCCATGAACAACAAAGCAAGACTTTCCAGACTGGCATTATGACATTCAGGGTCACACAGAATTAGCAGGCAGCTAATTAAATATTAGGGTTTTCATTTGAGTAGGGGTTTGCTTTCTAATTAAGAGATGCTGAGAAGGGTTTGGCCTTTTGCTGTTGCCCCCATTCTCTCAGTGCCACTGTGCACTGAGCAATTAGAGAGCATCTTATAGTTATTTTCAGTTGTTGCCATTATTCTGGAAGTTGCGATGTGGGAACTAAACTGAAATTTTTATATTAGTTTTCCCTGGGGACAGGCTCTGTGGGGCAGTGGACACCTTGTGCACAGCTGAGTGGCCTCTCAGCCGGTGTCACCTCAGTAAACAGAGGCCACTAAGACACGAAGCACCCGGTGGACAAGCCCCTGTGACTTTTAAGTATATTAACACTGGGCAAACAACACCACTGGCTGATTGAAAAGGTTAATGAGTAAATTAGCTGATTAGTCACTTACTGCCACCCTGAGGGAGAGGCAAGCACCCTGCGCCATCTACGCAATCATTTGCCAACCGACAAGCCAATGATTAGAGCCAGGACAGCAATGACAGCTACCACCACAGCAGCAATTATCCACTTTTTCTGTCAAAGAAAAGCAGGCTGATTACACCATGCTGATTGCACACTGCCACGGTCAAGGGCATCCTACATTGGGAGCGAAGCAATTGCCAGAACTCATTTTGAACTCTAAGTTGCAGGCCGTCTTCTGGAGCCTACAGCAATCTTTACTTCCCAGAGTGTCTCGATCTATGAGGTCAGGCCTCTCAGAGTCAGCCTGCTATGTAAGCCGGTAACACTAGCTTTTGCCTGGGTACATGACAGGCTCATACCAGTTTTGGCTGGACTGAAACACAGGACCCTTTCCGAGGAGCCCCTGAAATCAGAGCTCTGATGGGGAAACCCAGCTCGCTTCTGCCTCCCGCTTGCAGCAGGCAGTGATGCCGTTTGCATGCCCTCAGCTGTCGTGGAAGAGCTTGCATACTCTTGTGTCTAAATCTGAAGATTTAGACAAAGGTGCTGTGACTCATTGCTAAGCAGACATCATCCTTGGCCCCTCTGCAGGCAGCCAGCGTGGAACCCAAACTCTCTCAAGCTTCAGATATGTTATGGGAAATACTTAAGTTAGCAGAGTAAGTCCAGAATTCTGCACCAGTAACAGTCAGTGCTCTGAAACTGCCTTGGAACAGTCTGGGTGCAAGACACCTAAGCAAAGGGATGTCTGCCTTTGAGACTGCCTCCTGGAGCCTACTCAAGGCACTGGGCCTACTCACAGCCTCAGCCAGCTGGTTTACCTGACAGAGCGAATGGCTCTCATATACAATGGGTCCCCAGTGATTTTTACAGGGAATCCGAATTCCATCAGCTTGTTCTTCCCTCCAGATGTCAGATGGGACAGAGCTCAAAAAAGGGAAGCTCGTCCTGAGTTGAGATTCTGAGGATTTTAATTACTTACAACACGAAATGGTTGACATACAAATAAGCCAATCAACTTGGGAAATTTTGATGAGAAGAATTACTTTGATTTTAAAATAAAGCATAATAAAGGCATCTTGCTCCTTCCGTGGCTAGAAGCAGAGAGGAAGAGCCAGCACCCCAGGGCTCAGTCCTGAGTGGAGCAACTCACCCGCCTGGCTTTGCTATGGTATTTGATGGCTTTCTTGGTTTCTTCCTTGGCATGTTCAACGTAGTCTACAGCGTTCATCACATTTCTCTCAATGTTGTTGACCATTTCACCCTGAAAACAAGTTCTGAACTCAACACACTCCAAAGAACTCTGCCATGTCTCCTGGGACAGCTCTCATGTAAGGCCAGCATGAGAGGGAGGGATGGAAACAGGGCCCCTCCTGGTCACACAGGAGGGCAGGGCTGGTGTGCATGTGCTAGCAAAAGCAATTCAATTCTATGCATGTTTTAGAAGCAGCTGAAAGGGGTGGCAGCAACAGTGACCATCCACAGATGACATATGACCCGCCAGGTAAGCTCTTCATGGATATGTGGTGAAGGGAGGGCCGCAAGCTCAGGTTGGTCTCATGTTTTACCCTGGGTAAAACATTCCACACGCCAAGGATGATGTCTTTTCTAACACTCAGAAAATCACCACTGTTTGCCTTTACAGTATCAGCAAACTAAGTACAGCCTTGGGATGACAATGAACTGATGTTCAAAGATGGAAATGAAAGAGACTTGATGGTGTGTTGGGGACGGGCACATTACCTGCATCCTGGCCGTCCAGGAGGAGACAAAGTTGTGGCAGCCAATAGCAAAGCATTGGAGAAGGATGGACAGGTAACTTATCACTTACAAACGAAGGCACTGGTAAGTCCTGTTTCTGGATTATCAGTGTAACACAATGACAGGCTTCTAAAGGGGCGGTAAAGCCACAAATGGTGGCTTGCCTAATGATGCTTCATACTACACGCTAGGTATGGAGTAACAAAGCCTGAGCTATTACAAAGCTTTGTGGTTTCAAAATCAACCTACTGTCTTATCACACAGAGACTTTCCTTCCAGGCCTTCCTGGGAAGTCACAGATACCCCACTCCTCAGTTCTTAGACCTAGTGGTGACTGGTCCATCCCAGATCAAAGAAAACCACACATGTCCGCCCCTGACCATCAGTACCCGACCCCTGCCCACAGGGACCCAATTCCAACCCAGCAGTGCCTGTCTTGGCCTCCACCTACCTGTTAGTACTTCCACAGGTGTGTGGTGCGTAAGACTTCCACATGTTTATGGTAAGGGTCACCAGAATAAACACCATTCTTTACAATGCTGGCAGGGCAAGTGGGACCCAGGGGGTCCCACAACATCACCAGCTGTCGGCAAAGCACACTGACAGCCGCCTTAGGAAGGGGCGAGGAGCAAAGGCTTGTCTTGCTGGAGGCCAGCCACACTCTAGCCTGCCCCAGACTCTCCTGAGGGATCTGAACACCCTGGGGAAACTAGTTCAGCCTTAGGCTGATGAAATGGCCCAGAGATTAAGAGCACTAGCTGTTTTTCCAGAGGTCTTGAGTTCAATTCCTAGCAACCGCATGGTGGCTTACAACCATCTATGATGAGATCTGGTGTTCTTTTTTGGTATACATGCACACTTGCAGGCGGAACACTGTATAAATAATAAGTAAATAGATCTTAAAAAAAAAAAAAAAGACTAGTTCATTCTCTGCTGATTCCCACTGCAATTGAGTCACTATGAACAATCACACATGTGCACACACAACTTGATGTCTTTATACCTGCACACACTCTCTGATCCTCCCTGTTAGAGCTGCAGGGCAGGTGAGACCACCATAGAGTGAGTGTTGGCTCTGGCCAGTCCCTCTGATTTTACCCCCCGAGGATAGCCTTTAGGCACTGTCCCAATCCTTGCTCGGTCACTCCTGTGGAAAGCGGCCCCAAGACTGGAAGACAAATGCCCTGCTGCCCCACACACCAGTTCTGCTGTTTTCATGGTGCTTGGCTTGGCCACCTGCTTCCTCTGGGAACCATGTTACAGGAAGCTGAGGTCACATGATGTGTGGCCACATATATTTACACTCACACATATTCATGGCTAAAGTAAGGTTTCCTCTGTATATCCTTTTATTCTAACCTAAAGTCCACCACAGATGTTGGAAGATTTCATTATTCTCCAAGAACAAACATGACATTGGTTGCCTGTGGCTGTCGGAAGTAGGTAGCCTGTCAGTGGCTCCTGTAACTAACCCATGAGGAAGTGTACACTTGTGTTTCAGTTCATCATTCACACAGCAACCAATTTCTGAATTTTGAGGTTGGACACCGAGCTATGGCTTCCTTGGCCAGAGCAGGCTGAGCATGAAGCTCTATGTGGAAGACGCCTCATTACCTGAGTCTCCACAAACATGGCCATGTCCATGAACATCTCGTGCAGCTCTCGGATGCTGGTCTCCAGCTTCATGATGTCTTTGTGGCGGGACTCGATCTCGTTGAGGGCTTGCCTAGTAATCTGTGAATCTGATATGATCTTCGGGAGGTAAAAGGAAAAGTGTTACTAACTCCAGACTGGCCCTTCTGGGGAAGTGTGTGATGCTCAGCTGTGGCACTCACATCCGAGATGAAGACGGAAGGCTTCCCGCTCTCCAGCATCTCCTCCAGCTCATCGTCAGTAGTGGTCCTCCCAGCTGAAGGACAACAGACAAAGGGAACTGCATTGAGGACACAGCATGGCTCAACAGTCAGGGCTGGTCAACTAAGGGCATGCCACAGGCCCATGAGGAGTGGCACTATTCAGGTGTGACCTTGTTGGAGTGGGTGTGGCCTTGGTGGAGGAGACAAGCCACTGGGGTAGGCTTTGAGGGCTCAGATGCTCAAGCCAGGCCCGGTGTCACTCTCTTCCTGCTGCCTGTGGATCCACATATAGAACTCTCCACTACCACTCTAGCACCATGTCTGCCTGTGTGCCACCATGCTTCCTGCCGTGACAACAATGAACAAAAACTCTGAAGGGTAAAACAGCCCAATTAAATGCTGTCCTTTGTAGGAGTTGCTGTAGTCACAGTGTCTCTTCACAGCAATAAAACACTAAGACAGGGCCTCACAAAAACTTACTTGAGCCATTAATGTTGTCCGCATTATTTCGTTGCCCTTTCTAAGGCACTTTCCTGGGCAGGTTAATGTGGCAGAAATGTGACTGCAACGGGTCACAAACCCACCCTTGTGTTATAGAGCAGCAGCTGTGTTCTCCTACAGGCTTGACATGAGCTTCTGGCCAGAGGGAGTTAAGCTGAAGGTGGCATGTGACAAACCAGTGAGTGAACACATGGGAGGTCACCTCCCAGCTGGGTAGAAGGGGCCGAGGGACACAGAAATGCCTGAAGAAATCAGGAAGGCAAGCTTTCCATATGCGACTGAAAGAAAAGCGCCAACAGGTCCGAGTGGCTTACAGCCCCTCACTCAGAACTCTGAAGCCGACGGCACATAACGCATCCGGCTGACTCTAGGCACAGGCACTAGAAAAGGGAGGTGAGAGCGTTCATCTGATGGGGAGGTTCCATGAAGTATGTCTCCCACATGCTCCCTACTCACTGATCTCTAGCTGGCGCTGGATGCGACCTTTGCTTCGCTCCCGAAAAAGGATCTGTGCTTCATTGTATTCTGTCATGACATCCACAAATTTCCGCGACAGCACTGAGTGCTAGAGCATGGAAAACACAGTGTTACTCTTTGAACGAGGTAAAACGAAGAAGCTCGGACCATTTCTCCATTCCAGAAGAAAATAAGAGCAAAAGCAGCAACGGAAGCCGCATTGCCTGGTGGCTCATACCTTTAATTCCACTACTCAGGAGGAGCTAAGTGGATCTCTGTGAGTTCAAGATCACCCTGGTCTATATAGCAGGTTCCAGGCCAGCCAGGGTTACATAGTGCAACACCATCTCAAAGAGCAAAACACCACCACCAACAACAACAACAAATAAGCTGGGATATAGGGAGATCAGTTGACCTCTAGAGGGTGGGCAGTATTAGAGGTTAAATCCACTCAGGAGGTACAGGGACTGCCCTGAACTGGCAGGCTTGGACAAGCAGAGCTGAACTTCCCAGGTTTCAACCATAAACCCTCAAGAGTTAGGACCAGTGGTTCTCAACCTTTGAGTTACAACCTGCTTGGGGTCATATCAGATCTGCTACATATCAGATACTAAGTAGCGTAGCAATGAGAATAATTTCATGATTGGGGTCACCACAACATGAGGAACTGTATCAAAGGGTCGCAGCATTAGGAAGGTTGACAGTCAATGACTAAAAGCAAACCACTAACATGTAGATGATTTGGCTGGCCCTCTGTTCTGTGGCACAGACCATGTGGGCAGCTGAGACACAACCCATGTGCAGAGAGCGAGGGCAGAAATGACCCTCAAGATGAAACAAGTGTGCTCAGACGTTGCTCAGTGACAAAGCTCTTGCTGAGCATGTTAGGGTACCGGCTCTGATTCCCAGCACAATTAAAAAAAAAAAATCTCTGAATTTAAACAAAGTGAAATTCTTCCACATCACTTCAGTCTGACAGAGCTGGGAGGCTTACCTGAGTCCTTCGTATCCTCAGATCCACTGATGTTCGGTTCCCGCTCTGATCCTGATCACAACTCTGCTCGATAGCTGGAAGGAAGCAGGACAAGGTCACCCAGGTATGACATCAGTCTCAGGGTCATCCTCAACTTTCCCCATAAAACTGAAGAATAGGTGAGCTCTGAAAAGGAACCTCTGACGACTAGCCACCATATGACACTGTGTGCACACACGTGGACACTTGGTGGACAAGTAGATGGACATGCAAAACACATTTTGTGTATGAATGCTTACACATCAAAACCATAAACACAATCATACAGAAAAACACACAGGAAACAAAACCATGCACAAATACTCCCACAGGTATGTGACTATGGATGGGCCTTGTGTGTTTGCATTCATGTATGTGTCTGCTTGTTTGTGTACCCACGTTTGTCTCCCTGTTGCTCTGGTTTTTTGCATGTGTGTGTGCATTTGTGTTTGTATTTGGTGTACGTGTTTGGGGTGTGCCATGTGTTTTTAAACATTCAGTCACTGTGATGAGTCTGAATCGCACATGAAACAGTTGTGCTCCGAGGAACAACATTGTTTTTAAGGTGCACACCTTCCAGGAGTACACTGGAACGTGGGCAATGTGTCTGTCACCATGGAGTCGCTGCCCCAAAAAGGGGGCGTGATGTGCAGAGATGAGGTTTGTTCCTTTTGATGTGTCTCTGCGAGCTAAACGTGTGTCTTCCTCACAGATCAAGGACAGCGACTTCTGGTTAAGGACTGTGCAAAGAGCCACCACCCTCCCCCAGGCCAGGGGTCATGCTGAGCAGAGTACCATGAACTCGGCTGAGCTGCTGGCAGATGGAAAGTAGATTTCAGCCAAGAGACCTACTTGGGAGCTTGGCAAGCCACTATAAAGGCTATTCTCTCTTTCTCAAACACCTGCCCAGCGTCACCAGCAGAGCCACAGTGAGGCGTATCCCATGTTCATGGGATATGGATATTCAACCTACTGAGAAGTAGTCTCAGTTTCCATTTTGGGAAATGTTAAGAGTAACGAAACTCTAAGGGAAAGGCACCAACATCCACACCCCACCAGTACCCAAGAAGCAGACTTACACTTCAGCCTGCCTCGAATCCTGTTAGCAGTTTTCTTGATCTCTTTGTTCAGGTCTTCCAGCTCTTCTTTTATTTCTTCAAAAGGTTAAAACAAAGCATTTGAGATGGAACACTGGCCCCTTGCACATGCACGCATGCAGGCCAAGCAGGGAAGCACCCAGCCTGCTTTCCCCAGTGCCTCCCTGGGTGTGCCCCCAGCCACCACTGCCATGCTCAGAGCAGCTCCTGACAGTCCCTGAACTGCATGATTAACACACATAGTGGGGAGCCAGAATTGCAGGCTCACCCCAATCAAGGGATAAACAGCTGACTCCAGTGCTAAACAGTCACCAGGACAGGGAGTGCACATGGCCACACCCAGGAAGAAGCCTGCCCTGGCACCAGAGGTCCCTTCTGCTGTCGACACCTTCCCAGTCCTTGTTGCTACCTCGGAGACACCATGCATACCACTCTACAGCAAACCTGGGCCTAGACCTTGAAAAGCAACTCTGGTGGCCCAGCTGTTCTCAGGGTGAAAGGTCACCTGCTGCAGCTAACTGACAATGATAGTCCCACAGCATCTAAAGAGGCTCTTGGGGAACCCAGCCAGGGTCTTTCTTGTAATCTGATGTGACATCATTAAAACTCCCAAGGGAGCTGGCTGGGTGAGCCACTGGGGAGAATGCAAACAGGAAACCCAGGACCTCGGCTGGTGGCCGGGCCTTTCTTTCTCCTGTCTCCTGCATTCCACCCAGGCATGCTCATTAACTTAGAATTTGCTGCTTGGGAAAGAAGGGGCCTCTGACTTCATAAACATCTGTAAGAACAAATTTAATAAAGCCAGTAGTAAAACAAATAAATAAATAAAGCCAGTAGTAACACCAAAAAACAAAAAACAAAACAAAACAAAAACTCCCAAGGGGCTGAAGCACACCGGAGCCTGACAGACATGAAGGAGGCCCTATAAAACCCCAGTGATGCCAGAAACCAGAGCACTTCTGAGGCTCCTGGGAGGAAGCAGAACATGCAGCCAGAAAACAGGCAGATAAGCTCCTTTAGGACAGTGGAGTGGCCAAAGGGGAGAGAGCTGGTCTAAGTAACAGAAATGTGGACCTGACCAGACACTGGGGAAGGCCGCACAGGCCTCAGTTTCCAGTTTTTTCTGTAAGTGATAGCCATCACTGAAAGTTTCTAAACAAAGGCATTCAACATTTCTAAGCAGAGCTGGGATTTACAAAGACTGTTCAGATACCCTAAGCCACAGGGAAATGGGAATTTAAATTGCTCTGAGATGCCCTCTGAGCCCAGTCCCCCATCTCTGTGAGCACACACCACACAGCTGGCATCCAGACTCAGACTCTCCTCCCGGCTTCCATTACTAACCCAGCTCCAGCAAGCAACCACTGCTTTCCAAATCACTGTGGTTAATGTCCCGAAACACAAGATCCACCACCCCTCAACTGTGGGCACAGGGCAGACCTCTGGTGGACCACTGTCATGGCCAGAGTTCCACCAGACACAGTCACATATCCTTGAATCTTGCCTAGCGGTGGTCCCCAGCGGGACTCTGTAGGGGCCTTCAAACACCATGAAGACACCCTAGAGCTGGGCAGTGGTGACATATAGCTTTAATTCCAGAACTCCAGAGATAGGCAGATCTCTGAGTTTGAGGCCAGCCTGGTCTACAGAGTGAGTTCCATGACAGCCAGAGCTACACAGGAAACCCTGTCTCAAAAAACAAACAAACAAACAAACAACAAAAAAAAAAAACAGGAAAAGAGAAAGAGAGAGAGAGAGGAAAGGAAAGGAAAGAGGAAAGGAAAAAGAAAAAAGGAAAGGAGAGGAAAGAAGGAAAGGGAAAAGGGGGAAAGGGAAAAAGAAGGGAAAAGGGAAAAAAGGGAAAGGGAAAAAGGGAAAAGGGAAAAGGAAAAGGAAGGAAAAAGGAAAGGGAAGGAAAAAGGAGAAAAAGGAAAGGAAAAAGGAAAAAAGCAAAGGAAAAAAATGAAAAGGAAAGGAAAGGAAAAGGAAAAGGAAAGGAAAGGGGAAAGGAAAAGGGGAAAAAAAAAAAAAAAAGGCTGGAGGAACGTCTCAGAGGTCCTGAGTTCAATTCCCACCAATCACATGGTGGCTCATAACCATCTATAATGAGATCTGCTGCCCTCTTCTGGTATGCAGGTGTACATGCAGACAAAACATTGCATACATAAGAAATAAATGAATCTTTAAAAAAAATCATATGGAAAGGAAGGAAGGAAGGAAGGAAGGAAAAAAGGAAGGAAGGAAGGCCAAAAGGAAAAAAAAAAGACTTCCTGGAGTACCAGGGGGCCTAGGTATGGTCACCTGCATGAGCATACTGAGCCCTAAGAGAAAATTGGAAGACAGACAGACAGACAGGCGGCGGACTTACTTCCTTCTGGGTTTGGAGCAGAAAGGATGATGCTGTGGTTTTTCTTTACGTCTTCCACGTACTGAGCAATTCTGGCTATGCTGCTCCGAATCTCCTCCACCTGGGAGAGGAAACTGTGTGACAGCGAAGGCAGGAGGAGCACCACCAGTTTCTCCTCCTTCCTTCATCTTAAAATAATTACATAATTATAGCCATCATACACTGCAACTCATGTTCACATGCTGACATTGCCATGGCAAAAAAGGATTTTATAGGTATAAGACTTGCGCTGCGAAGTTATCCTGGCTGTGGTGGCTTCAGTGAAAATGGCCTCCATAGGCTCACAGGGAGTGGCACTATTTGAAAGGGTTAGGACCTGTGGCTTTGTTGGAGGAGTGTGTCACTGGGGTGAGCTCTGAGCTTTCAAACGTTCAGTGTCACTTTCTTCCTGCTGCCAGTAGATCCAGATGTAGAACTCTCAGCAACCATGTCTGCCTGTGTGCCACCATGCTTCCTGCTATGACAACAATGGACTAAACCTCGGAAGCTGTACAGCCCCAATCAAACATTTTCCTTTGTAAGGTTGCTATGATCATGTTGTCTCTTCACAGCAATAGAAACCCTAGCTAAGACCTTGGGTGAGCTAGCTGGTCCCTACACAACAAGAGACTAAAGGAATAATGTCAGGAAGGGGAGGCATTATGGAGAGGAATGGGTACTGAGCTTTCAGGTTGGAGAGGCCACAAGCCAAGGAAGGTAGTGTCCAAAGCAGTGTGGGCCCTCATTCCCCTGCAGCATTAATCAGTGGTTCTCAACCTTTCTAACAGGTCATGTTGTGGTGACCCCCCAACCATAAAATTATTTCCGTTGCTACCTCATAACTGTAATTGTGCTGTCACTACGAATCTTCACCATAATGCCTCTCCTTCCTGACATTGGAGACAGGGGTTTGCCAAAGGGATCGCAACCCACAGGTTGAGAACCTCTGGTTTAGAGCTTAGCTTGACCTGAACCTGTACAACTCCCTGAAGACAGCCAGCTCTGGAGCTGGGAAACAGTATGTGTTATTTAAAGTCCCTGGTCTTCAGTCATGTGCCAAAGGAAAGCACACCTTTACATGTTTTTATAAAAAAGTACTTTCCTTCTGGTGGTGATTTGGATGGTGATGTCCTCCACAGGGGCTGCACGTTTGGATATTTGGTACCCAGCTGATGGTGTGTTTGGGTAGGTTTTAGAAGTGTGGCCTTGACAGAGGAAGTATGTCACTGGAGCAGGCTTTTAGGTTTCAGAGCCTCACCCCATTCCCAGTAGCAGTCTCTCTCTGTTTAAAATGTAAGCCGGGAGCCCGGCTGCCGCTCTACCTGCCAGGACTCTTATGCCTCTGGAACTGTAGGCCCCAGTAAATCTTTCCTCCATAAGTCATCTTGGTCATGGCAATTGATCACAGCAAAACTAATGAATACACCTTCAGATCAGTGAAAACATACATGAGGCACATTATATAGAGATCAGCTTTCTAGTCTGTGAGGCGGTATGGTCCTTGTCCAAAGTCACCGCTGAACAACTCTGTGCCTGCACCTTCCTAGGGTACAGGAGTGAAGAGGCACATACCTCAGTGTCACTGTGACCCTTGTGAAGGGTGGTAGAGACTCAGGAAACCATGGCCCAAGGCCCAGAGACATTCTGAAAATCGAGGTATTAAAAGAGAAGTGCAACATGAAACTCACTGTTGCAGGACAGAGCAGTGCTTTCTTAGGCTCAATGGCTCAGGCCATCTTGCTTACCACTGCTACTGGAGAGGCACAGACATCACGTGCTCAGGAGTGCAGTGATGTTGACCACGGAAACACCACAATAAAAGCTGGTTCTTAGGGCTGGAAGGACTGGCTCAACAGTTAGAGCACTGGTTGCTCTTCCAGAGGACCTAGGTTCATTCCCAGCACCTATATGGCAACCCACGGCCAGAAAAGGCAGCCATGGGCCCCGGTGCCCTGGGAAGAGGCTCCACAGGAGGAGGGTACACAGTGGCAGTGGTGCCGATCCAGCCTGAGACTGAGAGCTGCCCCACACAAGGTCTCTTCTGCCCATTATAACTATCTTCTCCGGAAAGTTCTCTCCATTTAAGGCCTTGCTTTATTAGTCTTGAACCAAAGCCTCCCCAGTCAGTAGTGAAGTCTGTCCTCTGCATCATTCTGGGTGATGGATACAGCCTGGAGCCTTTCTCTATCAGTGGACTTGGGTTAAGAAGCTAAATTTGCTTCCCTGTCTAACTAAGGTCTCAGTTCACAAGGACAACTACGAAATAAAGTCTGTAGCAAATGCAGCTTGTACTTCTGGGGGAATCCAGTTAAAGACAATCATAGCAAATGGTCTCAGAGCATGAGCACTCTGCTTCAAGGGTAGGTGGTTTGAATAGGTTTGGCCCCCACAGACTCATGTGATGGAATGCTTGGCTCCTGGGGAGTGGCACCATCAGGACTTGTGGCCTTTTTAGAGGAGGGGCAGCCTTGTTGGAGGAAGTGTGTCACTGTAGAGGTGGGCTTTGAGGCCTCCTTTGCTCAAGCTCCGCCCAGTGCACAAGACAGTCTCCTCCTGCTGCCTTCTGATCACAGTAGAACTGTCAGTGTGTCCAGCACCACATCTGCCTGCACACTGCCAGGCTTCCCACCATGACGATAATGGACTAAGCTTCTGAAACTGTAAACCAGGCCCAAATAAACGTTTTCCTTTATAACAGTTGCCTTGGTAGTGGTGTCTCTTCACAGCAATGAAACCTAAGGTAAGACAATGGGTGACCAACACCAACAGCAAAGGGTCTCCCCAGACATTGAGCTAGAAGCCAGGGTTCCTAATTCCCGGGGACCAAGGAGCCTGGGTTCCTGAGAGGCGACAAGTCTCACTGTGGGACCCTTTAAAAAAATCACTCCAGAGGTGTGATTGGCTTCCCAAGGGCGGAAGTACAGCTTGGAACATTGTAGTTTTAAGTCATAGAGAGAGCAGCAAGAACACGGCCCTGACCACCCACCCAGGTACCTATGCCCTGCAGCCCTCCCTCCCAGGCAGTCTACATGAATAGTCACTTGAAGCTATCTCAATATTAACTACTACTGTGATGATGCTGAAAGTCCCCAAGAACTTACATATTTCAAACAACTTTAAAAACAGCCATGCTCAGGAGGCTGAGGCAGGAGGATGCCAAGTTCAAAGCTAATCGGGGCCACACAGTAAGACATTACCTGGAAGAGTCCAAAATCAAAGCAAGGAAAAATACGGTCACATGTCAATCTTGATAGAGATACAATGAAGACAGTATGGCTGGGTGACTTCCCTGTGGGAGTGACATGGAGTACAATGGCTCCAGCGGTATGACTTCATGGGATCATAGTCAGATATAGGGTCCACCATTAGACAAAATGCAGTTCCAAGGTGCAAGGGTGGGCTGCTTTACATGTGACTACAAACACTGCTATAATAAGGTAACTGCGGCCAAAGGTAAAGTCTTCATTAAATATTTACCTGATGGAAGAAATCATCCATGAAATGGTCCTTTTCAACGACGACGACAGTAGTGTCTCCATCATCGTTTTTGCTACACTGGAATAAGAAACATTTTCAAAGTGTCACTTGGGCCAAAAAGCAACTCAAGGCCCCTAGCATCTCAAGTGCAACAGAGCAGGCACACTCCACAGCCTGCAATCGCCTAACTGCGGCTTCTTCACTGTGACAGGTGACGGCAACATGGGCAGGGGGAGGGGTGGGCAGGGGAAGGGAAGACACAGGCCAGATTCCCATGCGGTGCATTCATCCTCGTCTCGGTCAGGGCCAGTCAAAACAGGCTTGTCTCCAAGAACTGATGTACTGTGTGCACACGCGCGCACACACACACACACACACACACACACACACACACAGTCACCCTGAGGCTTGACTCTGGGCTCTGAGCATGCTAGGCAAGTATAACACTAGGCTACATCACTATTCCGGTAACACTTATACTTTCTATAAGGATTAGAAATGTTACTGGAGGGCTAGAGAGATGGCACAGAGGTTAAGAGCACTATCTGCTTTTCCAAAGGTCCTGAGTTCAATTCCCAGCAATCACATGGTGACTCACAACCATCCACAATGAGATCTGATGTCCTCTTCTGATGTACAGGCAGACAATGCAGGCAGAGTACTGTATAAATAATAAATAATCTTTAAAAAAAAAAAAACGCTATTGGAAGTGGGGGCTGGAGAGATGGCTCAGTGGTTAAGAACACTGGCTGCTCTTCCAGAGGTCTGAAGTTCAATTCCCAGCACCTACATGGTGGCTCACAACTTCTCTAACTGCAGTCCCATGGGATCCTATGCTGTCTTCTGGTGTACAGATGAACATGCAGACAAAACATTCATATACATAAAATAGATTTAAAAAATCCTTTAAAATTTTTTGTCTGAGAGTTGGTTCAGTGGTTAAGAGTACTTGCTGTTCTTGGAAAGGACCCAGGTTTGTTTGATTCCCAGCATCCACATGGAGCTCCCCATCTTCTTGGGTACTAGGCATGCAAGTGGTCCACAGACATGCATGTAGGCCAAACACCCATACATACAAAATCATTTTTTAAATAATTTTTTAAAATGCTACTGGGTTTGGGGGTGCGCCCCTGTAATCCCAATCCTTGAGAGGCAGGGGCATAATGATCAGAAGGTCCAGGTCAACCTCAGCAACACAGTGAGTTCAAGGCCAGCAGGAGAAACAGGAGACGTTATCTAAGAACAAACAAAAACTGCCAACAGCACTAGACAACTTCTGTAGAATGCATAGTTACACCCTAGGTATGTCAGTCGGCATCATCCTTACTTTCTAAGAGGGACCACAAACTGTTCTTAATAAACACTCTGACAAGGAAAGAGACGTTGGAGAGTCAAGGAACAGCAGAGAAAAAGAAAGGGACATCACAGACACAGGCAGAATGGAACTTCGTGCTAGAAACAGACACACAGAACCAGGCACTTCCTAACCCTGCTCATGGTCTTGGATCCTGAGTCCTGGATGATGAGCTAGCAGCCCAGCTGTTGCTGCCTCTGAGGCCTGCCTGGGGCCTTGTGTCTAAACAGGATGCTGCCGCTGCCTGTGCAGTCACCTACCTAGAAGCCTCCCTTCCAGGCAGCCAAAGTCTCCACCAGAACAGACAGGGACAAATTAGCCAGAGGCAGCATTTGTCAACAGCTATAACCCCCCTTCCTCTTGCCACCACCACCTCCGCCCAAGAAGCTGGTCTCTAAATCCCACTGCTGAGCCCTGCCTGCCAAGAGGCACAGGGAAGGGACCTGCTGAGCTCTCTCCCCCAGGGCAGCCCCATGAGTCAGCACTATCTGGGTCTCCCTTCTAGCAGCCAAGCCCAGCAAGGCATTTTAGGAACCTCCACTTCTTGGGGAGTCAGGCCTTTACTCTGCAGGCTTGACAACACACTGCCAGGTTCCTTTACCGCCCTGGGAAACCTTGCAGCCAGGATTGTACAATTCTCAGTCAGAAAAATGTAGAAATTTAAGATATGTGTTCAAAGCTGGTGTGGTGGTACACTACCCTCCCCAATCCTTTTTTTTTAATCCTAACACTCAAGGTGCAGAAGCGAGGGATCACTGACTTTGTGGTCAGCAGGATCAGCATAGTGAGTTCCAGGCCACTCAGGGTTACAGAGAGACTTGCCTAAAAACAAAACAAAATAAAAAGATGAGGATAGAGGAGAAGGGAGGGAGGAGGGAGGAAATGAGGGTAGAAGGGATAGAAAAGAAAAAAGAGTGTTATGAAATCACAAATTCTGCACCCTCAGTACCACCCAGAACCTTCACTTAAAGCATGATCAGCTCTTCCCGCATCTTCTGTACCCTCCTCTAGCGCTGTCTGCATGGATAAGATAGCTGGTTAGTTAAGGCTGGGAGTGCGGGAGTGCTGCTTTAAGATACAGACAGGAGCATGAGAGGAACCTTTGTCACCAGAGAGAAGACACCACACAGCCATATATATATATATGTACATATACACACATATATGAATATATCCATATATTCATGAAGCCTAACATAACCCCGTCTAGCTTCTCAGAGCCACACACCTTCTGTCTTTCCAGGCCAGAGATGCCCCTTCTGTGTGATTTTCCCCAGAGCCCAAGTGACGCTGTCTGTCAAAACACTGCTCTCCCAGATGTCTGGAATGAAGGACATTGCTGAAGTATGACATGCTCTCTCAACAGCCCTCAAGCAATGGAAGCACATTTGGGACAGGGGCACTGACATGTCTGGTTAGGCAGGATCACTCGAGAGGGGGTGGGCTGTGGTCATTAAGCTGAGACAGTCAGAAAAAGACAACTGTGGGAGCAAAGCAGAGGTTGACACAGGGGCTCTGCATCCTTGGGAATGGAGTGTCCAAGATGGGTATCTCAGAATCCAAGAGCTGCAAGGAGAAATACTGGCCATGGCTTTCGGAGGCCCTGACACCCTGATTTCACACCTGAAGCCTCAAATGCCTTTGGAAACTGAGCTGGGGAATCTCAAATTTGAAGCCAGCAAGCCAGGCCATAATGCCATTCACCTTTAATCCCAGTACTCACTGGGCAGCGCACACCGCCCTAAGGCCATGAGCACCTCAAGTACGCATTTCTAGCAATCCTCTCTGAGCACGAGACATGGCCTGTAAATGGGCCCAGAGTCTCGAAAGCACAGGCCATACCTTGAAGCAGCAGTTCAAGAAAGGGTGATTATGGAACCAAACTTCACCTCTATGTAGGCCACTGGATCATACGTGATCATTGTTAGGGACACTGAGAAAAGCAAGACACGAGACTTCCTGGTGGTGAAGGTGTAAGTGAGGCAGAGAGGGAGGCAGGCAGGACACTGAGGCTAGGGGAGCTGTCAGGAAACGGGTTCATCCTGCCACCAAAGAGCCAAGAGGAAGTCTGGCCATGTCAGATGCTCTCGGGCCATAGAGTTCAGATATATCTTGAGCAAAAACAGGAAATAATTGGTCTGTGGAAAAATCCAGACTCTTATACACGACCTGTTCCATTCTGATTGACTAACATCCTAAAATGCACCTCAAGGTTCCTCCTCACTCTCCTCCCTCAAGTACAGGAATCTATGGCTTGCAGCCAATTCACTTGAGTCTGTCTCTAGCACCGCATCTAGCTCAGCCTGGCAATTCCTCTGTTCTTGTGCATTCCGGAAGATGGAGACAGAATCACTCCAGACATAAGAGTCTAGGCGACCCCAAGCCAGTTGCTCCAGGCTTTGTATTAAGTGAACAGTGGGTCAAAGCAGGAAGCAACTCTCAGCGCACCAGTCAACCCGTACAAAATCTGTGAATGCAGTCACTTTCCACAATCAATCTTCTTCTGCAATAAGGTCTTACTATGCCACCCGAGCTAACCTGGAACTCAGGATCTTCCCAAACAATGGGATCGTGGCCATTCAGATAAGCTACAGGTGACTGGCACCGGTACCTTTTTCTCTGGTGGATGCATCCACAGCGAATGAGAAACTTTTCTGGGAAATCTCAAACTCCGGGTCACTATGCCATTCTGCCATTTTAACCACAGAATTAAACCCTAGATCTTATCTAAGAGAAAGCAGCAATTAGATACATGCAAGGAGAAAGTTGCTTTTTCTGACTTGGTGAAAACATAAGACCTAGTAGGTATCAACAGTGTGCGGGCATGGCACTCATCTCCGAGGAACGCCTATCTCCGTGAGGCAGAAAGATTGCTGTCATTGCTCCATTTTGCATACAAGAAAATCAAAGTATGAGAGGTTTTGATACAAATTACTTGGCTGAGGATGGGTGGCGGTGGAAGGGCACTCGCCATGCTTCCGCAAACCCTTGAGTTGTATCTGTTGCCCCGGAGAAAACAGCTGAGGTTCACAAATCATTTTGGAAGAAGCTTCCGCTACGCTGCTTTCTAACTGCTCGGTCCTTGCAAGGAAATGGCAGGGCACCAGACTAGATAAGGTCACTAGTCTAAAATCCTATAACAGAACCAAGTCACATATTTGTATGTGTGTGACACACACTAGTGTCTATGTGTGTGTGTGTGGAGACCAGGCAACATCAGCTGTCATTTCTCAAGCACTGTCCCCTTTGCCTTTTTTTTAATTAATTTATTTATTTTACATATATGATCACTCTACCTGCATGCTAGAAGAGAGCATCAGATCCCAATATAGATGGTTGTGAGCCACCATGTGATTGTTGGGAATCGAACTCAGGACCTCTGGAAGAGTAGACAGTGCTCTTAACCACTGAGCCAACTGTCCAGCTCCCTCCTTACTTTTTGAGACAGGGTCTCTCACTGCCCTGAACTCCACAAGTAGGCTAGGCTGGCTGGTCAGTGAGCAAAGATTCTGCCGATCTCCACCTCCCAGAGTTCAAATTACAGTGTGTACCAGGGTGGGCTCTGAGGATTGAACCCCCATCCTTATGCTTTTGAGGCAAGCACTTTACCAATTAAGCCATCCATCCCAGCCCCCTGGTTCACATGTTCTCCCTATTTCTGGAATCCTGGAATAAAGAATGACTTACTGGGGTCAGGGAGATGGCTCAGCAGGTCAGTGTGGCT